GATGCAACTCTTGTTCTCGTTTGCCTGGAGCATGAGAGTTGAGAAAACTCTCATGCAAACTCTCGCTTCTCAACTCTCATTAACTCTCATGCAACTCTTGCTCTCGTTTGACTGGAGCATGAGAGTTGAGAAAACTCTCATGCAAACTCTCGCTTCTCAACTCTCATTAACTCTCATGCAACTCTTGCTCTCGTTTGACTAGAGCATGAGAGTTGAGAAAACTCTCATGCAATCTCCCGGTTCTCATGCAAACTCTCGCTTTTCAACTCTCATTAATTCTCATGCAACTCTTGTTCTCGTTTGACTGAAACATAAGAGTTGAGAAAACTCTCATGCAAACTCTCGAACTCTCATTAACTCTCATGCAACTCTTGTTCTCGTTTGACTGGAACATAAGAGTTGAGAAAACTCTCATGCAAACTCTCATTAACTCTCATGCAACTCTTGTTCTCGTTTGACTGGAACATAAGAGTTGAGAAAACTCTCATGCAAACTCTCATTAACTCTCATGCAACTCTTGTTCTCGTTTGACTGGAACATAAGAGTTGAGAAAACTCTCATGCAAACTCTCATTAACTCTCATGCAAACTCTTGTTCTCGTTTGACTGGAGCCATGCAAATTACTCTCAGAAAACTCTCATGCAAACTCTCATTAACTCTCATGCAAACTCTTGTTCTCGTTTGACTGGAGCCATGCAAATTACTCTCGCTTCTCAACCGCTCATTCACGTTTGATAAGGGCTTCATTTTGAAAACACTATGTAATTATTACATGTGATGTCACCACTTTTTTTGCAACCGGACAATGCAGTCTGACATTAATTTACAACATAATTGTCGACCCCATGTTTGCCGCATTCTTCTGCAAACAACACAGGCTGATTAAGGCCTTTCATCTTTCCAATTTAACCGAGGCCTGTTTACACATGTTTCGCCTCATAATACCCCCCCAACAAACTTCTAGTTGTAGAAATGTTTTTACGGTTAGCAACACTCTAGTGGTGGCGCCGTTACTGCCCAGTTCCGTGGCAGTCCATTGGATTGGCGGGTACACAACATGCGCTGTAACGGGAGTGATTTCAGCGACATTCCTAGGATGGTCAGTGCTATGAATGCTTATCTTATGCTTCTATCGTTATCTGGCGATATGTAAACCGTTCTACTACCGAACAAGGCTCACACCTAAACGTACCAAGGTGATAATGAGCCTAGCTTTTCTATGGAGTTCAGTACATTTAAGCCTTCCCCTGTTTGGGCTCGGACGATTTCGTGTTCACACAAAAGGCTGTTACTGTTCAATCGATCTCGTGACCGAGGATTCCACTGATGAGTCTGATCTTTTAGTGCATACCTAATTTTAGTGTGCAGTGCATGATAACCAATTTGTGCAGTGATAAAAGTAAAATGTGCAGTGATAAAATTTGCTTTGATAAGTTGTTATAATTAACACACGAAAATGAGACAATGAGCAGAAAAACTGAACTAATCCGGCGAAACATTTTGAATGAGAATGATTTAATTGAAATTGAAATGATGACTGCCAAATTATCGAACGTCTGCACTAATAACATATAGTACTTATCGTTCATCAGATGAACAAAGTCTCTCACCAAAGATCTCTTTATGAGTTTGGAAGATGGAGTGAATGATACTTAAGATTTTGTAATTACTGTATAATTTTCAGAATTCTATAGAATGTTCCCGCGCATTGCAGGAGAATAGGAGATGCCCTTTTATAGTGCCTAGATTACAAAATCGTCTGTGGGTGCATGTCCCTGGAACTCCTCTAGAGGTTTGTCACGCCTAAGCCCGTCATTTGCAAAGACGAAAATATTTCTTTTCTTCAGTCATGTTATTATGAAACTAAGCTGTCATAGATAGTCGTAACTGCAGGTGCTGTCAAGGCCGCCAAGAGGGGTGCAATTTGCCTGGGACTCCAGTTAAAGGGGGGCCCAAATAAAGAATTGCAGTGAAACATACATGGATATAACTGTCAACTAGACTTCCAGAATGCAGGATTTGGCTATTTCTAGGATTTCAAAATTTTTCCGGGGGACGATGCCCCCGAACCACCTAATCACAGCGTTAAAACATGGTATCACGAGAGCCCCCAAGTCAAAGTTTGTCCTGGGCCCCCAAATTTCCCTGAGTGCTGTGCAGTGTATGTTCGTTTTGGCATTTTTGAATATGAATTGTAGCCTGCTTTGTTGTTACACATTATTGTAAGGGTGTGTTCAGAAATGTTCAGGGAGTGCTTCTGCTCGGCTAAACTTTGCACCAAAATGTGCAGTGATAAAAAATTCTTAAAATTAGGTATATGTTTTAGTGGTCTATTTTATTATAGCCGAAGGTATTTTGTATACGCTTGTTTTGGGGTATCTTTACATGACTGTTCGTAAAGTTGTGAACACTGAGAGGCGGGCGTCGATGCAATTGTCGCCCGAGCAGTCCCAATGGGCGAACGTCGGTATAAATAAATATATGATGATGTATCGAGTATAAATAAAGTTTAGATTTCTTCCTGTAGTAACAATGGATCAGTAGGAGATGAGCCTAACTGGACTCCTAAAGGTGAACAGTTTAGAACTGATAGAGATTACAAACAGGAGGTGAACTTACTTCCAGTCACAGATAGCGTCAAATGTAAATTCCTTTGGGGTTCTCCTTGTTTCTGAGAATTCTTTAGTGAAACATTTTGTGTCCATTTCATCCACTCTAAGATAAAGTACAACCATGCAATTAATTAACCTAATAGTAGTCGACCTTTCTCATAATGACATCAAACGTGGATACTCACTGGCCTGGCTCCCACTTTTTCCCATAAAGACAATGTTACATGGAATAATACTTAACAACAATTATTTGCAATGCATTTGCATTATATTTCCAAGCTATATTCAAATTCATGTATCATCATTTGCATTGCAAATTGTCGCTAAAAATTGCAAAGTTTGAATGCAAATTTCTATACATTCAGCAGTCGCAAAAATGCAACTATAGGCGCCCTCGCAGAAATGTGCAACACTCTAACCAACTGAGCTACAGAGTCGATATTAGGGATGAGCCGATCAACAAAAATCAAATTTACCGATCCTATAAGTTCCGACCTAATAGTACCATCCGATCGGCCGATTTATCGGCGGTTACCGATATTTGTTAACAAGTATTCTCAACACTCGAAATTGGGACAAAATGCTAGCAAAACATATAACAACAGGAAATGTCATATGTGATAGTTGAATTTACTTAATTAATTTAGCAATCAATTTATTTCGGAAAAATATCCTTTCTTTTGTGGAAGAGAAAGAAAAGAAAATGTTAAATATTTCGGCCCAAATGTGGTAGCAATTTCCGCACGCAATACAAAAGTATACAAAATTTGCGAAGTTTCCAAGGCTCATATATATTTTCCTCATTTTACAACATTTCGCAACCAAACTTTGTAATTTTACTAATTTTAGTAACGACCCCGGTTTCACCACTATATATGCGAGTGTTATAATATACCAAAGAAATTATTGCGAAAGAGCTAATAGAGCTAATAGAGTTTGATATTCATAAACGATCTTCCCGACATATTACCTGACGAGACTTTGGCAGCTTTGTATGCAGACGACACCAAACTGTACAAGTCCATCACATCAGTAGGTGACTGTGAAAGTTTGCAGCAAGCTTTAACAGACCTTGACTGCTGGAGCCGTGACAACAACCTCAATTTTAACGAGTCGAAGTGTAAGGTGTTGACAATTACAAGGAAAAAAACCCCGCTGACGTACGCATATCACATGGGCTCAAAGGAACTTACTCGTGTGAATAAGGAAAAAGATCTTGGTGTCTTCATAAATTACAACCTCTCATGGGACGATCATGTTCATACCATCACCGCCAAAGGGAACAAGATGCTTGGCATGCTGAAAAGAACTTGCCCTCTACTGACTAACACCGCAGTGAGGCGGACGCTGTACTTGTCACTCGTGAAGTCCCAGATAAGTTACGCCACCGAAGTCTGGTCTCCTACCATCAAAATGAGATCCACAGTGGAACGTGTACAAAGGAGAGCCACCTCTTGGATACTGCAAGCCAAGCGCGGAGAAATTGCATATAAGCAGCGGCTGATAACCCTTGGCTTATTACCCCTGTGCTACGAGAGAGAAATAAAAGACTTAGTGTTCTTTTTTAAGGCACTGTATGGACATATTGATCTTGACGTGCATAGTTTCGTTTCATTTGTCAACAATGGCAGAACACGACTTAGTCGAAATCCTTCTCTCACACTCAAAATTCCTTTCTGTAAATCCAAAACATTTCAATCCTCATATTTCAACCGGCTTGTCAAGTTATGGAACCACGTCTGCAAAATTCTTCCCTCTACCACCTTTGCCAGCCTCTCCATCTTCAAAAGATCTCTTAAAGCCACTTACGCTAACTTGGTTACGGCAACATTTGACGTGGACATGCCATGCACCTGGACACTGGTGCGGGACTGCCCCTGCCACAGATCTTAAGTAGTTTTAATAGACGGTTCCTCTTATTGTGTTCACTGAATGCAACCATAACATTATGCTTGTGAGTTTGAAATTATTTTGCTAACACATCCGTGAAGCATTCAGGTGGTTGTGTTCATGGTGCATACTAATAGGGGGAAGCGGCTTTGATATATTTGTATTTTATGTATGTCTGTATTTATATGCTTGTGAGTTTGAAATTATTTTGCTAACACATCCGTGAAGCATTCAGGTGGTTGTGTTCATGGTGCATACTAATAGGGGGAAGCGGCTTTTATATATTTGTATTTTATGTATGTGTGTATTTATATTTATGTACGTATTCGCTGCTTCGGGGTTTGCACCTTGCATGGGACTTCGCGTCTCGTTTGTGCTTATGCCATTTGAGTTCATATTAATTATACATAATATTAATTATATATAATTATATATAATATTAATTATATAATGTAATGTTCTCAATAAATATATTTGAAATGAGAGCTTAATAACGGTTTACCTACAGGAAACGGATAGTGAGAATAAATTAAAATGTGAGATAATATCACTCCAGTCAATGTAAGGAATCCGTTATACAAATTTGCGCTACTGTATATACCAACCTGTCGAATTCGTAGCATTATATTGTGCATGAAAAGTAAAAATATTTTTAGTTTGACCTGCGATATGATAGACGCTAATATTCGTTCAACTTCAATCATAAACCTATTAGGGATTGCTATAGACGATGAATTAAAGTTTGTGAAACACATTAGAGATATATGTAGTAAGGGAGGGAAAAAGGTGGGGATACTTATGAGGTTTAGGAACTTGATACCGACTGAAGCCAAATTAAGAATCTTTAAAGCTTTTATACTACCCCAAATAACCTACTGTCACATAGTATGGCATCACTGTTTGTCATCAGACAGAAGGAAAATAGAGCGATTACAAGAGCGAGCACTTAGGGCCATATATTGTGATAGGAGTAGCTCGTATAAAGATCTCTTAAGGAAAGGCAAACTTCCTACATTGTACAATCGTAGACTCCAGGACATAGCCATAGTTATGTATAAAGTGAACAATAATCTAGCACCCTCTGATGTATGTAATCTTTTCAAACACAACACCAGCAACTACAATCTTAGGAATGTAAGTGATTTCTCCATACCTAGATTTAACACGGTTACGTATGGGAAACACAGCTTGAGGTATATGGGCCCGTTCATTTGGTCAAAGATCCATAAGTCCATAAAAACGGCTATATCCTTAGATACGTTTAAAAGACACATACGGCAAATGGATATAGCCGACTTAATTTCCAATAGTTGTACTAATTGCTATTTATGCAACAATTAATCGACACTAATTATAGATATTTGTTATAATATATTTACTCTGTTTATATAGTTAATAGTAGTTAATATAGGTAGGTGTCCCCAATTAGTTTCTTTGTAAACTAGAATTTATTTGACACAATAATAAAGTTTTTGATTGATTTGATTTGATTGATTGATTGACCAGGGATTTATTTGCATAACCTCATGGAAACTACTATACCTTGTTTGAATGAAGGGGGACGAGTCGGGACCAGAACCGGAATGATATCATTATCTGGTATACGGCCATGTTAGAATTATTAACTTATTACAAATACAACTATACCAACCTGTCGAATTCGTAGCTTTATATTGTGCATGAAAAGTAAAAATATTTTTAGCCCTTCTTTCATAACTTCCAGAATTTGACACGATGTATAAACTATTTGTGGATGATAAAACCACAACTTCAGTGCTTGCATTTGAACCGCAATATGTGCCAAGCAATGGAGCAGCACCATTTGAACCATCATATATTCTTAGAAATGTATCATTACAACTTGGTATGGTCAGATCTTTAAAGCTCAATGAAATGATGTATGTTTCAGCAAGCGTGATTAACCAGGAACAATATTGCGAGCGTGGATCCATCTCACTAACTGCAGCCTTATGTGATCTAAATGAACCACTAAGACCAGTCATTGTACGGCGGCACTCTGAAATAGAAGTAAAGGATCTTAAAAATCAAAGCTAAAATCTAGGCAGTTTGCTTGTATCATTTATCGTAATCCATTAGTACTGTCCAGTAAAGTATGATCCAGTAATTGGAATGTTCCATACTTCCATCTTCTTTTCATTGTTTTGAAACTCCCACTGTTCTTTTGACTCAAATTTATTTCATAATTTCATAATCTCAGAACCAAAGAATTTCAACCTGGGTTGATACTAGACATTTATCTGGCTTAAATATAAGCTCTGTCCAAAAATGCATGCACAATGAATTCAGACAGTGTTTGAATTGTTAGCATATATCATAAAAGATTATTAAACAATTGAATACTTTGAAGTCAAGTGTACATTTTACATGTAAATCTTTCTTGTAAAAGATTCAAATGCAATTTTTTTCCTAATTGTGTAGAAAGCGTTATTTGAATGTTCAGTTGGTACAACGAACTGAGTTATATTAACGTACCTTCATAGTAACAATAGTATTTCTTATCTCCATCTGAAAACAAATGTTCCCCACCCTGGGCATCTCTATTCCTGTTATCTTCTGTATCAAACACAATATACTCCAAGTAACTAAATGCCCACTTCACCATCTGACATTTAGGAGTGTCAGTAGAGCTAGATGTTAATAAATAAAATGGTTGACTGACAGGCAGTTCAATTGAATCATACCAGTGACCATCAGTTTGACAACAATAATATATCAGGGTATTATAATCATATGAACCATCTGGTAGAAATCCTCCGTGACTATTTCCGTTGTCACTATCTTCATCATCCCATTCCACCCAGCCTGATGCCATATCTTTCGGACACGTTCCATTCTTGTAAATACAATATGAACCTGTCAAAACAAAAATACATTTCGAGGGGAAATCATTCAAAAAACGTATACAACATAAAGAAATCATTTTGATTAAAAAAACATCATTCTGTATATAGAGAAAAACCTTACCTTTAGGCCAAAACCTTGCTTGTATTCCAGTATTTTGTTTCATGCAGAATGTCCTATTTACATCTCTATTATCACCTTTTATTGTTATGACAGCCAGCATATGTGACCCACTAGATACTCTTGACCACTCACTGCTACTCTTATCGTCTTGCATATCCTGATATCTCCAGCCCTCACCCCACCCATTCTCCTTACCACCTGGACATCCTGATTTAGGTCTAGGAAGACCATAGCTACCTCTTGGCCATTCATCACCTGCAAACATTAGAGCATGGTTTTTGCAATACTACAGATTAAATTGGAACAATTTATATAAGTATATAAGTTGTCACATGAGATCGGAACAAGTCAAACTGGGACGATTTTATTTCGGTCAGAGTGTTACTAGTATAATCTTGAACTGTCTGGGTCAGTGTAGGCAATGTCAATAATATGAACAAGTTTTCGTTGGTAGTGATGCAACTACCTGAACAATATAAGGAGAATTTCGACGTTTCAAGCGAAGACCCTTAACTAGTAACTCCAGAGTCCAGGCGATATTATTTATAATAGATGTTTTCAGCGACTATCTTCAGACCAAGATGAATTTGGAGCGGGATGTATGTAAACACAAATACATTTCAGACCAGCCTTGGCTGTGCTCCTGGCTTTAGAACAAAATACATGCTCACAAAAGCACTGTAAAAAGGAAGATGGCTGGGAGGGAATAAATTGAAAGATTTGTGATATTCATATCGATTATCGGTCTCACGTGAACATACTGAAAATTTCGATTTTCAATCCGGTCTCATGAATCAGTGTTATTGGTGTGTTCGTTTGAAAGAAGACAAGATTTGATGAAAGTTGCAACAATCGCTCGTATTTCAACGCCAGCTATCATCAACTGTCAGCCAAGCACTCTTATTTATAACTTGAACAACTTTGAGGTAGTTGTATGATAGTCGACAAGAATTTTTGCCACGCGTGCGGTAACTGCACTAGCCTGCTCGCAGACGTTGTATTTCTCACGCCAAGCGACGAAAAAGCAACGTCTGCGAGCAGGTTAGGTAACTATCAACTGCCATGCAACTCTGTTTCTCGTTCGACCAGCGAATGAGAATGAAAATTCATAGACCAGGGATTTATTTGCATAACCCTCATGCAAGCTACCATACCTTGTGTGAATGAAGGGGCCAAGCCAAGAAGTCAGGTAAAAAATAGAGCGAATTCTAAATATCCCTAGCGAGATCTCTGAAATTTCCCATATAAAGGCGACAGGGAGGGGTTGTAGGGCGAAGTAACTGAATCCAGAATCCACACAGTAGGATATGGAGTCCAGTTTGATGATAGAATCCGGAATCCAGATAAAGGAATCCATTGACTTTTATGAGGATGCAATTCGCAATCCACAAGTAAAGATGAAGAATCTACCAGTCGGAATCTGGAATTCACGAGTCGGGATCCAGAATCCGAATAATATCATTATCTGGTATACGGCCAGGTTAACAACGTTAGAATTATTAATTTATTACCAATACAACTATACCAACCTGTCAAATTCGCACCATATTGTGCATGAAAAGCAAAAATATTTTTAGCACTTCCAGAATTTGACACGATGTATAAACTATTTGTGGATGATGAAACCACGATTTCTGTGCTCGCATTTGAACCGCAATATGTGCCAAGCAATGGAGCTGTGTTATTTGGACCATCATATATTCTTAGAAATGTATCATTGCAACTTGGTATGGTGAGCTCTTTAAAGCTCAATGACACGTTGTATGTTTCAGCAAACGTAATTAACCAGGAACAATATTGCGAGCGTGGATCCATCTCACTAACTGCAGCCTTATGTGATCTAAATGAACCACTAGGACCAGTCATTGTACGGCGGCAGTCTGGAATAGAATTAAAGGATCTTAAAAATCAAAGCTAAAATCTAGACAGCTTGCTTGTATCATTTATCGTAATATTAGTACTGTCCAGTAAAGTATGATCCAGTAATTGGAATGTTCCATACTTCCATCATCTTTTCATTATTTTGAAAATCCCACTGTTCTCCATGCCATCACTCATTGTTCTGACTCAAATTTATTTCATAATTTCATAATCTCAGAGCCAAAGAATTTCAACCTGGGTTATACTAGACAATTATCAGGCTTAAATATGAGCTCTGCCCAAAAATGCATGCACAATCAATTCAGACAGTGTTTAAATTGTTAGCATATATGTCATAAAAGATTATTAAACAGTTGAATACTTTGAAATGTACATTTTAAAACTTCCATCCTTAGCTATCGTACATGTTATATGATTCAAATGCAATTTTTTTCCTGATTGTAGAAAGCGTTATTTGAATGTTCAGTTTGCACAACGAACTGAGTTACATTAACTTACCTTCATAGTAACAATAATATTTCTTGTCTCCATCCAAAAACAAATGTTCCCCTCCCTGGTCATCTTTATTATTGTTATCTTCTGTATCAAACACAATATACTCCAAGTAACTAAATGCCCACTTCACCATCTGACATTTAGGAGTGTCAGTAGAGTTAGATGTTAATAAATAAAATGGTTGACTGACTGGCAGTTCAATTGAATCATACCAGTTACCATCAGTTTGACAACAATAAAATATCCTGGTATCTCTATCATATGAACCATCTGGTAGAGGGTCTCTTTTACTATTTGAGTGGTTATCATGATCTCCATCATCCCAGTGTACCCAGCCTGATGTCATACCTTTTGGACACGTTCCACTCTTGTAAATACAATATGAACCTGTCAAAACAAAAATACATTTTCGAGGGGAAATCATTCAAAAAACGTATACAACATAAATAAATCATTTTGATTTGAAAAAAAATCATTCTGATGGCATGAGGAATGGAGATATTATTATAAAATTATTCTGAAGGCATGAGAAATGGCATGCATGCATGCCTCATTCTGGTGGCATGAGAGTGGAGGTTCCCTTTTTCTTACAGTAACGACTGCAGTAAATATTTTGAGGCATTAGTTATGCAGGCCTTAAAATATCTTTCACAGGACCGTCTGACAAAATGTCCGGTGACATTGAGTTTGGGTCGGACATATGTCCGATGACCTTCAGTTCAGTTTTGACTCGGAAATAAGTCTGAATGACACGAATGAATGTGAGCACAATGTATTAATTCTGTACTGTAAATGTTGTGAAGAAAGTTAAATTTTGTTTCTTTCATACTTATTTCCAAGCTAAAATTAACTTGCTTTCCAGAACAGCAGTACTAAAAAAGACTTCGACAACTTAAGCCATTTTTCCACTTCACCATTTCGTTCGCCGCCCCGCGCTCGACTACGTTAAAACAACATTTCCAGTTCACCTTTTATACAATAGTACTCTGATTTTCCATTTAACATACAAGCCTCTAGTCCTGGGCTAGGGTACATTTTGATTTACGTTGGACAAAGCTACAGTTCGGTCGGACACAAATACACTCAGGTCGGACAAACAATAAACCTCAGTTTCACTTAGGTCGGACAGAATGTCCGGTGGTTTCCTCTCTACGTCGGACAATTTCACGAATGGGTCGGACAATGTCCGTGACCGACCGATATTTTAAGGCCTGCTTAGTTATGATGGTATTCTGTAAAGAACACTTAGAATAAGAATTGTGCCATCAAATCACAACCCAGGGTGGTCGGAAAGTTTCAATGACATTGTGTTTTCATTGTTTTGAAAATCCCATTGTTCTATTCTCCTCCATGCCATTCAGTCATCCAATTTGTATCGAAATGCCTCTTGCAGAATCCCTAGAGTTCATACTGTAACATATGCATGGCTGTTTCATAGGTATTCAGTGTATGCATATAGAAAACCTTACCTTTAGGCCAAAATCTTGTTTGTGTTCCATTATTTTGTTTCATGCAGAATGTCCTGTTTACATCTTTTTTATCTCCAACTAATGTGACATCCATATGTGACCCATTAGATACTCTTGATCGCTCACTGCTACTCTTATCACTGTCATCCAAATCCTGAAACCTCCATCCCTCACGCCACCCATTCTTCTGATCACCTGGACATCCTGATTTAGGTCTAGGAAGACCAAAACTAACACTTGGCCATTCATTACCTGAAAACATTAGAGCGTAGCAGAATAATTTATATTAGTATATAAATTGTAACATGAGACCTGGACAAGTCAAACCGGGACGATTTCATTGTGTCAATAATATAAACAAGCTTTCGTTTGTAGGGATGCAACTACCTGAAAAATATAAGGAGAATTTCGACGTTTCGAGCGAAGGCCCTTAACTAGTAACTCCAGACGATATTATTTATAATAAATGTTTTCATGAGACCTGGGCGAAAAATTGCTGAAACCGGTTTGAAGTCATCCCGCTCACTGGACCGAACCGACTATCTTCAGACCGAGATGAATTTGGAGCGGGATGAGTGTAAACACAAATACATTTCAGACCGGCCTTGGCTGTGCTCCTGGCTTTGGAACAAAATGCATGCTCACAAAAGCACTAGAAAAAGGAAAAAGGTGGGCGAATAAATTGAAAGATTTGTGATATTCATATCGGTCTCATGTGAACGTACTGAAAATTTCGATTTTCATTCTGGTCTCATGAATCAGTGTTATTGGTGTCTTCGTTTGAAAGAAGACGAGATTTGATGAGAGTTACAACAATCGCTCGCATTTCAACGCAAACTGTCATCAACTCTCAGCCAAGCACTCTTATTTAGAACTTAAACAACTTTGAGGTAGTTGGATGAGAGTCGACCAGAGTTTTTGTCTTTAGTTTTTGTATACAGTTTTGAATTTGTATTTTCTTGCCAATCTTGGGGATATACACGGTTAATTAAACTCAGTCTGTAAATTGTTATTTAATTCACAAAATACATCCGAGTGATAACACGATTGGCTTAAGGTTGTATCATCAGCAAAAAACATCAGCAATTGATCGAGTGAGTGAAGTCGGAACTGAACATTTATGAAAATTAGAAACAGTAACGGACCCACAACCGATCCTTGTGGCACGCCAAGTTCAAGAGGTGAAACTGTTGATTGTTGATCAACCAGAGCAACAGGGGCGGTTTCTGTGGGAAAATTACGTCAAAATCCAGACTGGAACTTATGTAGTAGGCCATTTGTCCTCAGGGGCTTATGTAAATTTAGCGTAATATATTTTTCAAAAACTTTAGAAGGACCGATATTGAACGGTACGTTTTATTTGAGTCATCAGAAAATTCCCAAGTACGCTTTACAAAGATGTTTTAATTTCTTAATCGATATTTAATATATGAGTATGTACCCTGTCAATATTCAGCTTATTATGTTCCATTTAATGCTAGGGCATTCAAATTCTAACAAAACATTATTTCAATAGTTTTGGGACACCCTGTAGTTTATCTCTTTTTTTTAATCTCAGTTAGTGCCATGTCCATTAGTGAACCACTTTGGCTGCATTCGTCTTTTCACTCACTTTGTTTTCAACGGCGCAAACGTTTCAAGACTGAATGTCATTAAAGCACTCACGACATCATTAGTAACATCGTGAAAAACAAAATCACTGAGCCTAACCACGGCACGAAACGTCTTTATAGCATGTAGACTAACGATAAAAATACTTCACTTGCTATCTACACAGTAAAAAAAAATGTACAACGTGGCCACGTAGCCACATCAACTCTATAGCAGACCTGCCAACCTCCAACAGCAACGAATCTGGAGATCTGATAAAAAATTTCTTGAGATTGATCTCTTATTTCTGGCAATAAAACACTGAAAATCTGGGGTAATTTTGGATAAGACAATTACTGTAATCATTGCCTGTCGATGCCTGATCTATGTTCTGTGACATAGCAATTTTTAATTACTGTCCTCCAAAATAAAACTTTAATTAACTCAACAGTTTACATAAAAATTCAACCTGCATGGTCTTAGTCTATACGAGTGTATCTTACTAATTCGGGATACTATTCCAATTTTTATCGCACACACCCCTGTTGAGGAACCTTGGAATTACAGAGGAAGGGGATGATTTTCAACCATGACCCGCATTTTCAACCTTGAAAATTCCTAGGAGGGGGTAAATTAAATCAAGTTCCTCAATGTGGGATGATGTCATTTAGGTTATTCAAAATGGCGGAGTACCAGTCTTAGACTGCTACTTAGTAACGAGTAACTAAATACTAATAGTGTTGGGGATTCTTTACCAATTAGAATTACCGTCAATGGCTAGTTTTATTTCACATCAATCACTCCCATTTTAAAGTCTAGTGGTGGTTAAAATTTCAAAATCGTGAATCCGTGAGATTTGAAAATATTTCCGTGAGTCCGTGAGATCGCCTGAATTCGTGAGTCGCACGGGAAATCCGTGAGAGTTGGCAGGTCTGCTATAGTTATGCCCATTTCTGTGTCACAGTTTCAAGATTCAATTTCTTATCTACCTTTAAATTTTTGTTGACATATACGAAACTATCCCTCCACCAAACTTTCGGCATCTATCTTTCCGATAAATTGAGTATCCTCAGTCCGGAATTTTACTGGTAAAACCATGTAAATCCCCGTCGGGTTTGGTCAAGGACATTCGTAGCTCTTCGAGTTTAATGTCTGTTGGCCTTTGTACATTCCAACTGAATGGCATAACGAAATACCTCGGCGAGAGTTTTTGCGGTAACTATATCAACTGTCATGCAACTCTGTTTCTCGTTTGACCAAGGAATGAAAATTCATAGAGCAGGGCTTTATTTGTATACCCTCATGCAAACTACCATACCTTGTGTGAACGAAGGGGCCAAGCCAAGAAGGCAGGTAAAAATAAAGCTTATTCTAAATATCTTCCTTTTTTGACTTTTTGTAATCTGTAATAGAAAGAAATTCAATACGTTTATATATAAAGCCATTAACAAATATAATATTTCAAATAATCTTCATATTACTCATATAATATATTAATATTTCAAAAAATCTCTAATGCATTTATTTCAACTGAAATGTACTGAGCTATAGAGAGCAAGCTTCATACATAAGAACGCAATTTAGTACTGTAAATTAATACTGCCATGAAGTCAACGGCAAATGCAGCCATTCTCAAATATGTTCTGCCTTCATTTCCACGCAATACGGGCCTGACAAATATATTCTCTTCGTGGAGTAAAATCCAAAACTCAAGGACTTGTCAAGATCTCCTGCGTATGTGTATGTCAATTATAGAACTTCCTGTATGGCTGTAGATATGTAGACTTCAGGTCAGAGAATGTAAATCTCGGCCGACTGAACAATCTCGACTTGCAAAACGCTTTTGATCGTCTCAGTAAATGTCTATACAGGCGTAAAAATGATATCGACAGCTTGAACAAGGTTGTTCAAGCTGTCGATATCATTTTTACAAGTTGTCAACAATGTTGTTATATTAAGGCCCCGTTTACACCACACCAAAACAAGTTGTCAACAATGTTGTTAGTGATGTACAACAATTTTCGAAGTTGTACCGAACAAACAAACAGCTAATCTAATTTACATATGCATCATGATGTGCTGATGCTTTGTCGTCAGTAAACGGGAGGCCAATGTGGACAAATATTCGTATGATTACGAATTTTTATGCGGACAAAAATTTGTCTGGTGCCGTGTAAATGGGGCCCAAGGCCTAAAATACACGTAGGAAATGTCTTAATTACCTTCATGTTTACTGTAAGATGATGATGAACCATTAACAGAACCACTATCGCAACACGCAAAACAGCGTCCAATTCAACCAATCCAAATAATACAACGGTGCTTCTGAAAAGTACGATTAAGTATGTTGAGTTGGCCGCTATTGAAGTCATGTCATTATTGCCTTTCGAAGCCGGAAGATGGCTATTGGAAGATGGCTATCGGAAACTCATTAGAATAACAATATAACCTGTTTCTATGTTTACAGTCATTATACACGAATATGGTCCTTCACCGTCACGTGTGTATTGTATTTTTGCCAAATCCACCAATAGCAATTTCCAATTTACACTATATTGTTCGAGTCACGGATAGGTAACTTTCCTAAAACATTGCTATTGGTTAGTTGGTAAAAATACCGATACGCATGTGACCTCTATATCTATTCTGTGACATGGCGGCGAAGAACCAGATACCCTGAGTCGGAACTAATACTGAGTAATACATACTTTTTTTTTCTGTGTTGGTGTAGTGTACTCAGGTGAATATGATATTTGTGGTGTTACTCTGAGTGTATATCCACAAGGTCGTAGGTTCGAATCCCACCGTGGCCGGGCATATTTTTCAAGCTCGCCCGGTGTGGATATACACTCAGAGTAACACCACAAATATAAATATATATAATACATGCTTGTATTTTGTTTCTTTCCAACACTGCCGCAGAAAATTAAATTTACCAGTCAGCGTCAAAATATTCTGAGGATGACTGTTCAATAAACCATAAAGGATGAAACGAGGATGAGCCGAGTAATTAGCAGTCACATATTGTTAGGGGGGTGTTTTCGAGTTCTAGATCAACAAAATAAATATTTCGAGTGACTTGAAATTTGCATTGACGTCGTATTATTCAATTAGACAGATTAAGATCGTGAAAATGGCGTGTTGTGCCTATGTATGGATTAGCCTCCTCCCCACGCAACTCTTTGACAAAAATCTAAATATTAAAAAAAAATTTAAAAATTGGCAAAAATGTGAATATTATAGGGTTACAGTGATCCCTAACAATCTTTAACTTTAAATTCGCTGTATGGACATGCCACGCCATTTTCGCGTCGTCTTTGACGTTCGCATCCTCGATCTAACAGACCGGACGCGATTTTGGCAACGCGATGCGAATTTTCAGTTTTCAGTGACTTATTTTTAAAGGTGATGTAAAGTCCGTAATGTAAACAAACGCTTTGTTTACATTTTGAACTCAGTGCTACAGTTGTAAAATATGATTAGATATATATTATACTGAATTTTTAACACTTTTCTGGTTCGTTATGCTTGTAAATGAATACAGACTAGAGATTCAATTCAAGAAAGTTCGGAAGGTGCGAAATATTAACAACAGAGAGGTTAAGATTTTGTCGTTTACGTGTAGACCTTGGTTTACCGCGGGGAAACGGGTAGAAATTACGGGTAAAATTGCTGACATCAGCAAAAATTGGTAAACAAAATGGCGATACTCGTACCCGTAAACCGGTACCGGGGTATCTTAACCTCTCTAACATTCCAGAGGTTGTTCCCCCACTGATGGAATGTTTTGATGCGCAGAATATATGCGCAGAACGGACTTTACCGCATCTTTAACTTCAATATTTTTCTATGTTTTTCAAATATTCGGAACCACTTAAAGGGATATATGGCAATAAAAATTGTCTTTAACATTGTCTTATTTGAAAGAACTTTTAAAGTTATACCTGATGAAAGACCCTTTGCAACTTAAGAATAAATTAACTCATTCACTACGAATTGCCAAGCACCTTTATTATGAAGAACAAATTGACCGTAACAAATCCAATTGTAAAAATACTTGGAATACCTGGAATATACAGTATTGAACGAAATTATTAACAAGAGTAAACGACAAACAAAAAACTCCCATCCACATTTGTCATTGATCAACAAGAATGTTCAGATCCTTATGCCATTGCCAACCAATTTTCTGACTATTTTTCCAATATTGGTCTAAATCTAATTAAAAAGATACCAAATGCTACAGTTTCCCACATTTCCTTTCTTACTGGAAACCGTATCCAAATACTATGTTTCTAGAACCAGCAACTGAACAAGAGATCATTAACGTTGTTAAAACCTTTAGGAACGGCGTGGCTACCGGTTACGATAATATACCCTTATTTGTTATTAAAGACAATATCGATATAATCGCTAACCCCTTAACTTTATTGACATGACCGATCTAACCACCATATCAGATCTTCCTCTAACCGAAGGAGAAGTTCGTTATGTACTTCGAAATCTTGACGAAGAGAAAGCAACTGGTCCTGACAAAATCCCAGCAGTATTACTAAAAAACTGCGCGGCTAGTATAGCTCCATCATTATGTAAACTTTTCAACAAAAGTTTATCGTCTGGTCAACTTCCGTCAGAATGGAAGCTGTGTAATGTTTGTCCAATCCCAAAGAAAAGTCCACTTCATGAAGTTTCCAATTATAGACCAATTTCACTTCTGTCGTTAGTCTCGAAGGTATTTGAACGTTGCATATACAATAGACTTATAGATCATATCTCCAGCAAACTGAATGAGTTACAATATGGTTTTCAAAGAGGCAAGTCTACCATTTCCCAGCTTTTACATGTTCTTCACAACATTCATGAAATGCTTGAAAAAGGATGCCAAGTGGACACGATTTACCTCGACTTTGCGAAAGCATTTGACAAAGTAAGTCATGACCTTTTACTTGTGAAACTCCATAACTTTGGCATCAAAGGTAATCTTCTTCGTTGGTTCAAAGATTATCTTTCTGGGCGTTTTCAAAGAGTCACTGTACATGGTGTTACATCTCAGTCGCTCCCAGTACTATTTGGCGTTCCCCAAGGATTAATTCTTGGACCAATCCTCTTTCTTATCTACGTAAACGATCTTCCCGATAGCGTCTCTCAAGATACTGCCGTGTCAATGTTTGCTGATGATACTAAATGTCATCGCGCTGTTCGTAACCCCCAAGACAGAGAAATCCTACAATCAGATCTTAACAATATTACGAACTGGTGTCAAGACTGGAGGATGGATTTAAATAAATCCAAGTGCGGAGTTCTTCAATTTACTCGTTGTCTCCAACCTACTATCAACCAGTACACATTAGCTGACATCCCAGTCAAACCTTTAACCTGTGTAAAAGATCTTGGCGTAAGTATCTCCAAAGATATGAAGTGGAACCAGCACGTGCAGGACTAATCCTCAAAAGCTAACAAAATGCTGGGTTTTGTCAAGAGAACAGCGTCCGGCATTCACGATAAAAGAGTTCGAAAGATACTGTACTTGACCATCGTTCGAAGCCAGCTAGCTTACAGTAGTCAAGTGTGGGCACTCCAAACTGTCAACAACATCCTAACGATCGAACGGTTGCAGCGACGTGCATCAAAATTTATTCTTTCGCTTCCGTACAAAACATCTATCCCGTATAAGAAACGATTGGCTACCATCGAAATCCTCCCTCTATGTTACTGGCATGAGTATTTAGATATGGTAGTTATGGTGTATCTTCACAAATGCCTTATAAATAACTCTGACAATAAAATATCTATAAAGATCCCTACACGAAAAACAAGAAATACTAGTTCAACTAACGGCATCCTACTTCATGTAACCAAAAGTAAAACTGTTTCTTTTCAAAACAGCTTTTACATCAGAGCTACTAATGTGTGGAACATGCTTCCCGGCTTCATAAGAAATACCACCACATCTCTAACTACATTTATATGTAATCTAATGAAATACTACGTAGAATTAACCCAACAACTGATTTATGACCCTGAAGATCCAAGAACATTTAAGTCTGTGTGTATTAAATGTCACACCACTCGCCCACTAATGAACTTATCAACTCGAACATGTTGCTAAATTTAGTTTTTGTTCGTTTGTTCGTCAATACGTTTGCTTTGTCTTCTTGTATTTGTGTTTGATTGTTATGTTTCCTTTAACTTCAAAATAATTAGATATACCATTAGTTGTTATTTTTTGGAACCCCGTTATTGGAGAACTATCTCTGTGTGGAAATTCCAGTCATTTGTAACCATAGTACTCTATATAGATCTATTGCAATGGCAAACTTGTAAAATAAAATAAAATAAAATAAAATAAATAACTCATCTTGTTAATTTAGTCACTTTCATCATCATAATTTAGTCATCTAGTCACTTTCATCGGGTACTTTTCCTGATCTACTAAAAATTGCCCGAGTTGTTCCTGTTTTCAAATCCGGCGATCGCCGACTGCTATCAAATTATAGACCTATATCAATCTTGCCAATTTTATCCAAGGTTTTTGAAAAAATTGTTTATAACCGTTTAATTAACTATATGGACAGATTTCACATTCTTATTGATAATCAATATGGTTTTAGAAGTGGTCATTCGACCTATACTTAGCTTTGTTGCAATTATACAATAAAATTTCAACTGCAATTGACAAAAATGAATTTACAATTGGCATATTTTTAGACTTATCTAAAGCTTTTGACACAGTCAGCCACGATATCTTGTTTGATATAAAGCTTCAGCACTATGGAATCCGTGGTACTGCACTTGATTGGTTCAAAAGTTATTTGTATAATCGACTCTGAATATGTACAGTATAATGGTGTTTGATCGAATAAAACTCCTATACACTGTGGGGTACCTCAAGGCTAAATTTTATCTCCGCATCTTTTTTTAATATACATTAACGACATTTGTAATGCCTCAAGTAGTTCTCAACTAACTCCTATTTGCGGATGACACAAATTTATTTTATTCTCACAAAGACTTACAATTCCTAGTTAACCATTTCACTCAGCAAATAAATTATCTATAAACTTGAAGAAAACCAATTTTATGATTTTTAAACCGAAGCAAAAAAAAATATTATGTTAATCTCAAAGTTGCCTTAAATAACCACGAAATAGATTTGGTCAATGAAGCTAGCTTTCTTGGGGTACTCTTAGACGAACATCTGACATGGAAGTCACACATTGCACAAACTTCTAGGAAAATGTCCAAATCGGTTGGAATTATAAAGAAAGCCAGTTTTTATCTCCATACAAGAGCACTAGTTATGTTATATTATTCCCTTGTTTATCCGTATATGCAATATTGTATCCTAGTATGGGGCTCAACTTACCCATCCAATCTAAAGCGTATTGTTTTACTATAGAAACGTCTGATAAGAATTGTATATAAAGCGTCATATGACGCTCACACCCAACCCTTTTTCAAGGAACTTGGAATTCTCCCTTTAGATAAAATCTATCTCTTTCATTTAAGCAAATTCATGTACCAGTTTCACTGTCGATTGTTACGATTGTTTTTCAAAATATCAATCAGGTGCACAATTACTACACACGTAATTCAAAGTTATACTTTCTTCCTTTCTGCAGAACAAATATTAGGCAATTTTCTATCAGCTACCAAGGCGTTAAATTATTTAACTCTCTTCCTCAGGATATCTGTGAAGCTTCATCCGTTTTTAGTTTTCGGAAAAAACTTAAAGAATATCTTTTTAATCTTTAACATATTATCTTCTAAATCCCTAACACCTAATTTCTATAATAGTGTTCATTATACCTATAAATATATCACCCTTGTTAAATCTCTCTTTCTGACATTACACGTAATGATCAACTGTACTACAACTTTGAACAACTAGTTCTAATTATTATATAAATTAACGGTCACTATAGGTAGATGCTTAATATGTAATTACACTAATGAATTCGGATTTGTCTCCTATTGTGCACGAATTATTCCGTTTGTATGAATACTATACGAGTAAGGTAGCTCAAAATTAATAAGCCGTTTCTATTGGGCTCCCTTGCCAAGTATAATGTATATTTATTCCTTCTTTTGTATGATATTATTTTTTTTATGGCTAAAATAAATTTGATTTGATATGCATATCGAATGCAAATATCCAAGATGGCGGAATGCACGCTGCTTTTGATAAACGAAATAAGTCGATTTATTTCGAAAACCAAGAAACATACGGAATAATTGTGAAGAAAGTTTATATATCATTTTAAATGTTCTTTCAAATAAGACAAACTTAATTTATATTGCTATTGGGCTGCATGTCTTGTAAAATTTTTATCCGTTTTAAAAACTGAAAATTTGCGTCGCGTTGTGGAATCGCGTCCGGTCCGTATAGACCTTAATAATAGCGACCTTATAAGCAAACAGGACGGCAACGCGACGACGACGGCCATTCACACAATGATATTCCTGATCTCGTACAAAAGAAATGAATAATTAAAAGCTCCACGGGAGTTACTAGAGACGTTGTGTTAGGGCTTTTTTTCAACGGCAAACCAGAGATTTTCACGTCTCGTGTACAACGCAAACATATCAAGACGCGACAAGTGAAACTACAAATTTGTTCGCAGATTCGAAGCGTGTTTAATTAAACCATAAAACCTTTGTTTCAGTCTCATCAAACTGAACTCAATTGAGAAGGCTAGTAGACATGGGGTCTGAGCATAGATATCTTATATACACTAGATAGTGCATCTAATTATTCTGCAATTCAAAAATTGAAGCTGTGATTGCAGTCTCAGGTCGTTCCCATGAAATGAGGAGATTCGTATGTTTTCTATTTCTTAAACAGGGAATTTAAACATTAAGTAAACCCTATTCCAAATACGTTTTTAAACTATTCGAATGATGAAAGTTATTGTTATTTTTAAGCGTTTATTAGCAAGTGGGAACGACCAACACGGCCGCCATCTATTCAAATGGGGGTAACCGCTGGAATATTCTTGGCTTCAATTTTACTAAAAGAGATGCGCTATCTAGTGTATATAAGATATCTATGGGTCTGGGGCAACACCGTACAGAGCCCATGTTTACTCGCTTCTCAACTCTCATGTAAACTTCTCAATATCCGAAATATCACACATTCGAACCGACCTGACCGTGTAGCTCAGTTGGCAGACTGATTGGGCTAGTGTTCCAAAGGTCGTAGGTTCGATTCACACCGTGGTCAGGCATATATTTCAAGCTTGCCCGGTATGAATATGCACTCAGAGTAACATTACAAGCATCATATTCACCTGAGTACATTACACCAACACAGAAAAAATTTTATCGCCATGCAAACGTACAAAGAACTTAATATCCATTCTCGTCAACTCTCATCCAAACTCTCGCTTTTCAAGTACTCAACTCTTATCAACTCTCATGCAAACTTTCGCTTCTCAACTCTCATCAACTCTCATGCAAACTCTCGTTTTTCAAGTACTCAACTCTTATCAACTCTCATGCAAACTTTCGCTTCTCAACTCTCATCAACTCTCATGCAAACTCTCGTTTTTCAAGTACTCAACTCTTATCAACTCTCATGCAAACTTTCGCTTCTCAACTCTCATCAACTCTCATGCAAACTCTCGTTTTTCAAGTACTCAACTCTTATCAACTCTCATGCAAACTTTCGCTTCTCAACTCTCATCAACTCTCATGCAAACTCTCGTTTTTCAAGTACTCAACTCTCATCAAATCTCATGCAAACTCTCGCTTTTCAAGTACTCAACTCTTATCAACTCTCATGCAAACTTTCGCTTCTCAACTCTCATCAACTCTCATGCAAACTCTCGTTTTTCAAGTACTCAACTCTTATCAACTCACTCATGCAAACTTTCGCTTTTCAACTCTCATCAACTCTCATGCAAACTTTCGTTTTTCAAGTACTCAAATCTTATCAACTCTCATGCAAACTTTCGCTTTTCAAGTACTCAACTCTTATCAACTCTCATGCAAACTTTCGCTTCTCAACTCTCATCAACTCTCATGCAAACTCTCGCTTCTCATCAACTCTCATCAACTCTCATGCAAACTCTCACTTCTCATCAACTCTCATGCAAACTCTCGCTTCTCAACTCTCATCAACTCTCATGCAAACTCTCACTTATCATCAACTCTCATGTAAATTAACTCGATCTTGCTTCTTAATTCCCATCAACTCTCATGTAAACTCTCGCTTCTCAACTCTCATCAACTCTCATGCAAACTCTCGCTTCTCAACTCTCATCAACTCTCATGTAAACTCTCGCTTCTCAACTCTCATCAACTCTCATGCAAACTCTTGCTTCTCAACTCTCATCAACTCTCATGCAAACTCTCGCTTCTCAACTCTCATCAACTCTCATGTAAACTCTCGCTTCTCAATTCTCATCAACTCTAATGCAAACTCTCGCTTCTCAACTCTTA